GGCGAGCCGGGACAATTCGTGCGAAGATATTAAAGCGGGCTCTACCACTGTTAAATAAACTGGTCAAACAACTGCCTTTTGTATCAGGCCCTTAATACAAATCTTTAGCTAGAGCTATTTAAGATATTGTTCGAAGTGTTGTCAGTCTTTATAATAACTAGAACGTAATGTTAAATTAATCTAGTTATTCGTATGTAGACACGGCGCAATAATCGCAATGTGAATTGTACAGATATTGCGGAGAAAGGTGGGAAAATACCGGAGTCGTCGGCCGCGGATTGTGTTGCACTAGGGTGGCCATGCTTTTTATATAATCATCAATTTCCTCATAACTACTAAGGGTCCGCAAAATATATAATCCTACGTACATCTAAAGATAAGCCCTCAGATGGATTGGCAAGAGAAAGCGCAGGACAGGCGACTTTAGCGATCTCTTGTGTCAGAGGCTCACTTTGTGCCACTGCGTCAACCGACTGAGTAAATAAGCCGTCATATCTGAATTTACCCCTTTTTTATTTTTAGAGTTCCGTACCTCAAAAAAAATGGAACCCTAATGATCATATTAGGGTTCCATTTTCTTTGTTGTCCGTCCGTCTATCTGTCAAGATATTTTTTTATACGATCCTTATAAGAAAAAGAGAATGGAAAGAGAACTATGATTGCACGCATCAGACTGTAGTTGGAATTACTTCCACTTGAAGCCCGTCTTGTGTGGTCATGGTATTGGAATGGGTGAGGCACATTCGTGTTGTTGCTGACCGACCTTATGACACTCAACTCTTGATTTGACTTATAACAACTCACTCTTGCTTACAAACTTACAACTCTTACTCTATTATTCTGGTTAAAAGTATTTATCTAATTTGAATTAAATTAATGTTACATATCGTCTATAATTATTATGTAAATTTAAAAAAATATATCAGCCTTATCTTTGCCCATAAGACACCTTATACTATATATTTTTTTGATTTGAGAGTTATAATGTTCCCGAAAAAACTGATCAGATGGTAACCCTAATAAAAACTCCAATATACAGTCGCCGCATAGATTTCGCTATCCGAGCGTTTGGAAATCAAACTAAACTAAGAAAAACAAGCGTTGACACAGTTCTGGTTATTTTTTTTCTTGCTGTAATTTTTCGAAAATGGTCTATGTATACATTTCGTAACTCGGAATGCGGTCTCGCTTCGAGGCCTTTGCCAGTTTCTATAGTTTGCAATATAGATTGTAGAAAAAAAATGCTGTTAACTTTTAACAATTTATCAAACTGTTTCGCGCCAAATTTTGACTGTTACAGATGAAAAAGTCTTTGCCTAGTTTGCATTATTGAAAAAAAAACTCTTGGGCTAAAGTCAAACTAAATTAAGACAGTTCTATACCGCCGTCAAAGACAAAAAGGTGTCATAAAGTCTTTTGTACTGTAGCTGTCATGTTTTTTTCTTTTATGCCATTTTTTTTCTTTTCTTGCCCATGAAGGTTTTACATATTACTGTCAAAATTAATTACGTTAAAATTTATTACGTTAGTAACGCCTCTCTTAACGAATCAGATATCTTTGTTTGACTATATTGTAATTTAGTTTCTAACTAGCTGGTGTCCGCGATTCCATCCGCATGGAGTCAAATAAAAACTTAATAAGTAGTCTATGTGTTCTTCCAGACTATGTTCTACATCTATGCCAAATTTCGTCAAGATCCGTTCGGCCGTTCTGGAGATAGCTTCAAACAAACATCCATCCTTATAAACATTCACATTCATAATATTAATAAAACAAACTGTTGCCTACGACTCCGTTTGTGCGTAATTAAAAAAACTTCATTAGTAGCCTATATATTCTTCCAGACTATGTTCTACATCTATGCCAAATTTCATCGAGATCTATGTAGCCGTTCTGGAGATATCTTCAAACAAACATACATCTAAACATTCGCACATATAATATTAATTACATGAAGTGTTTCATACAAATTTGACGTCTAAATCGAAAGGCGATTTTAGAAATATTATGTATAATAACATTGAGGTTTAGGAAATTAACTGTAAAATAATCTCGTGGGAATTCTTTCGCCTGATATAAAAAGCTAGACAAAAAATTTATAATCAATTTATGTCGGTGCTTCAGACATGATTTTTATATTAAACTAGCTGACGCCCGCGATTATATCCGCGCGTACTAAAAAAAAACATAACTATTAGCTTATGTGTTCTTCCAGACTATGTTCCACGTCTATGCTAAGTTTCAGCGAGATCCATTCAACCGTATATTTGGGAAATAGCAAAGGCAATTATTTGAATTTTTATCACCTCAATTTAATTTTTTTAAACCTTCCCTACACCTCCACGAACATTTCAAGACCAAGATAAGATAAATCCGTTCAGCCGTTCTCCAGTTTTAGCGAGACTTACGAACAGCTATTGATTTTTATATATATACTAGCGGACCCGACAGACGTTGTCCTGTCTACACGTTTTTAATTTGAAAATTTCAAACTTAGCGCCGTCTGTCGGATCCAATGTAAAACATTCCAAAATCAACAACTACTAATAAATTAAAAATTAATTAAAAAAACATTGTCCAGCGGACAAAATTGTGAATCTAAACCATTCCCAGATCCCCTTGAACACACACAAAAAATTTCATCAAAATCGCTCCAGTCGTTTGAGAGAAGAAGACATACACACGCACAGAAGAATTATATATATAAAGATATAGACTAATTCAATAATTACTATTTATTAATGCCTAATGCAAATCAAGTGATATAAAATTATATTGCCACCTAATAACAATATTTCCATTAAAAAAATATATATGAACTTTAAAATTCTATTAACTCAATATTTAATTTTGTATAATTTTATTTATCGATACAATAAAACGGATGACTGATCACGCTCTCAGAAACGCACGTATAAAAAAAACATTAATAGCCTTTTTAATATCATAAGATTGCAAACGAAAGGCCACCAAATAGCTAAAATGGCGAAGCGACCGTTGCCCGTTACGCAACTACATATGCGTTGCCTTTAATCGACGGAGGAGAGGATGCACAGAAACAGAATTTCCCTTCCCATATATCCCCTCATCCGGAAAACTTCTCATCCTTTATTTATAAGAAAAAGGGAATAAAAAGAGGATTAAAAAACGTATAATACTTACATTTTTACGATTTCCAACACCAACTTAAACTGCATATTGACAGAATGTAACAAATTAAACACACACAAAATGTCTTCACTTTCTTTTACTTTGAAGAATTAAAGATTCCACGAAAACAAAACTTGTATAATACTAAACAATGACGTCACAAAGTGAACATGGCGCTCCCAAGGTTCACGAAAATGGGAAATCAACGACTAAAACATAACACAAACTCTTTAAAAAAAAACATGTCAAATTATTTACAAAATCCTCAAATCAGATCTCTAAAGATGTAATGGTCGATAAGCCTTTGCCTTTTTTAGATTTAAAAGTGCTAATTAAAGTTATTGTGGCTTTGGCTATTATTATTTCGAATCTTCTGCTACCGACTACTACTGGCTGTACCAAAATGGCGGAAATCAAATCAGCACAAAATATAACTGCTTACAACCCAACCATTTATTGGTCATTATCCAACTGAGATCCTATCGAAATATCAAATCAAAGATAATTAGAAAAAAAATAACGCAGACAAATAATTCTATTACATGTAGCTACATACTTTACAGTGAAAAAGGTTAAAATTAGTTTAAAGAACGGAAGATAATTGTCAAAAATAGTGTTTTATATTTCGTAATTTCGATTTATAACTGTTTACAACATCAAAATTCGTTTATGAATAAATGTTTAGTCAATTGTGTTTTAAAATAACAGAGATAAGATAAATCAACGCGAGCGTTCATGAAATTAACATCATAATTTAATAAATAAATTATAACAAACAATTCTTGTGTGCCAGTACTTTTTTTTCGAAAGATAAGGAGTTCGTATACCATTTTAAAAACATACGGTATCTACAAAGTCAATAAACCGCGTAAATTTTCCATTCAATGTTTATTTAACCGCTAAAAATAATACTTAGTGTAGAAATATTTAAATAAGCATTAATACAGCCGAGTTAGTAATTCGTCATACTTGTAATTACCACTTAGTTTTTTTTTGTTTATTTAAGTTGATTTTTGTCGAATCATGTTTTCAAAGTGATATACGACTCCAGAGTCAAATTACAAAATGTTATTCGAGTAAATCAAACGTCACGAGTAATTCCTTTTAAAACGAATAATTTAAAAACGTATAATATTTTATACAGTACAACTAAAATGTAATAATTCTTGCACAATGTATTAGACACAGTCAATTGCTGTGCCAGTGAGGCCGTACCGTATATAATTTTCTAGGGAAGTCAGTTTCGAAACAGTCAACAAACTCGACGAAAGAACACGAACATGACTCGTTCGAAAATATTAAATGAATTTTTAGATTATCGATCGATTCCGTGAGCCGAAGTCGCTAGCTATACAATTTTTATGTAATACAATAACGCCCACAACAACAAGTGCACTTTTTATCCGTTGTATACATACACGGTGCGGGAAGTTACGCACACTAATGCAGATTTACATAGAAAAACAGCCGTTCCATCGTTTCTAATAAATCTCTAGCATAGTATATGTAGAATAGAATAAAAAAAAACTTGAAAATAGTACGGCTTCATTCATTTTCCTGTAAAAGTGTAAATATATAAAGTACGCACGGCAAAGGGCTATAAAGTTTAGTTTTGCCCGCGAGCATTAGTTTCCATCCCTTTCTTACGACCGAACGCTTTCGAGTTTTCCCGTACGCGATCAACTCAAAATACGCCAAAAATGACGTCGAGGCGAGCCAAATGTTTCAAAAACAGTGTGTCGCGGTGTCTCGTTTCTGTGTACGGTCGTCGCGCGCGCTCTGCTATTTTATTATTTGGAATTTTCCAATTCACTGAACATCGGCGGTCGTAAGTTTTACAAACGGATTAGTATCCGTTTCGCATTTTTCGCAAACTTAGCGCCAAATACGAAAGTCGAAGAGTCGCCGTCGACGTTGATAAGGTTGTGAATCGCTTGGCGCGCGATCGCTAACCCGCCCGAGTTGGAACGCCGCGCTCGCCTATGATCCGAGGTGGACACGGCGCACCGCTCCAATCGGCCGCGTTTCACGTAGAAAATTCTGACAGCTCGAAACCGTCACAAGAAATAATGTCGTTTTTATTACATTTTTTGATAAATTATTATTCTAGTTGTGATCCGACGATCGGTCGGCGGCCTTATCGATTTTCCTATTTAGCGCGCGACTGTATTTTGTACTTTTTCGAAAGGTCCGCATGCGAGTGTCTAGGCGCTTTCGAAAAACGTTTTACTTGTATTTTCTCGCGGCGAACGGACGTCGTGCGCGGTGCCGTAAATTGGTAATAATTCCGTTCATTACACGGTAATACGCCGCTCGAATATGGGTTAGTGCTTCGATGGGAGTAACGAGACGGTGTCGAAGTCGACAGTGCAACGTTTAAAATGTTTGTTACAGTGCGTGTTTTTACTGTTTTGTTTGTCTAATAGTTGTGTCTAGTGCATTCCGTGCGTGAAAGCATTCGGTAGAATTGTGTTTTTATGTTGTGACGGATGTCTGGGGGACGAAGCGGCGGGTTACAACGCAGCCGAGATCGCATGTCGGCTGGCCACCCGTCTGTTGCTTGGACTACTCGCAGTTGCACGTATCAGTAAGTACTCCGAACCTAAAACAAATTGGTGAACCGCAACTCGGTCAACAGTTCATCGAGAAACAGCTATAAACTATGTCTGCTGCAGTCTGCACAGAATTTCCAAAATCAAAACTGTTTTAATTAGGTAGCTATGATACATCCAAACCAGTTGAATTAAAAAATCCAAAATTCATTAATCCATATAAACGGAGATTGTTGCAATTTGCATAGATAACATAAACATAGATTTATTCAAATTTATTCTAAGAAGGATTTTATGTCTTAAAATGTGTTAAATCTATCTGATTTTATCTGTGCTTAATCTTCTAATATATTTTCTAATAGTACATTCCAAAAAGTTTATTTCAAAAATGCATTAGTGATTATAAAAGATTTAAAAAAAAATTATGAGAAAATCTTGAAATAAAACTTTTATTTTCACTAAACTTCTTGATATTTATAATTTCTTACAACATAAATAAAACAAAAGCCTTCTTATATCTTGTCTTTGTAAGGATTAATAGAAAAATATATATTGATTTTTCCTGATTTAAAATTCAATGAACGAAGAAAGAAATTGATTTTAAATATTCAAATTAAGTATAACTTTAAATGTACCGTGTGAAAATTTTATGTATCTAATTTAGTGTTATTTTATTAAAATGAGATTTGGAATAATTTATACAAGATTAACATTGTCTTTTTATATTATTTATCCTTAAATCTATAAAAATTTACATCAAATGTATATATTTCTTATTTATAAACCAATGGACAGATTATAAAACTTTGGTAGGATAGTTTAGAGACAGAGAAAATTGTTTTTAAAAACTTAATTGATTTTATCTCTATGATATTTGATAATATGTGATACATATAGTTAATACTACATTCCAATTACAATTTACTTTATACAAGATTCTTTGAACCAATTTTACACTAATTTTATTTACAGTATGTTATTTATATGTTAATCTTGTATTTATAGAATAACAAAATATATTAAACAGTAATAAAAAAGATAAATAATAATAAAAGGCTAAATTAATAACATCCTATAATTTTGGTCAAATTTAAATATTTTGTTTTAATCTGATACATAAAATACAATAATATTGAACAAAACTTTCTGTTGACATTTATTAAAAAACTAGTTGTCGCATGTGACTCTGCTCATGTGATTTAATTAGTAGCCTATATGATCTTCCAGATTTTCTAAATGTATGCCAAGTTTCAGTGAGTTGGTCTGTTGATTCTACATCACCTTTCAGTAAATCTCCTGTCAAAATTGGTCCAACCACTCCGGAGATTGTCCGGAATATTGCTTTTTCTGCAGCATGTAGTACATTGAAGTTTCAGATTGTGTGTAAGATATGTGTAAGAAGATAGTGGATTCAGATTCAATGGCTGATTGTATGGAGTACATACTGTGTAGACCTTCCGTAGGGATAAGGGCGGGTTGATGATGATGGTTACAAAATAAAAAAAGTAAGATTGACTTTTTTATTATGCTTTATATTACATATTACTTAATTGATAAGAATTGTTATTCTAAGGTTATCTAAGTGTTATAATTGTCTTTATAATAAAAATGAAAGATTAACACTTTCAATGATACTAGGATTTTGTGGCATTTATTGCTGGAAATTACTAGAAATGGAGTAAAAATTAAAAAATGTTGATATCCAAAAGTGGATAAGCAATTGATAATTTTAGCTAAGACTAGTGTTCTTCCGTGATCTATGCAGAATTAAAAAATGAAAGTAAAAGTAGTCTATAATATTCCTGCTTGTAACAGCTACCTTATCCAAGTCTTGTTAAAATTGGTCCAGTTCTTCCAGAGATTACCTGATACAAACAAACCTAGCTGACATACAAACAAAAAAAAAATTGAATGTAAGGGATGGCAATATGTTAATACTAGTGCAGTTATAGTGTAGGCAGAGTTACTGCCACACATTTGGCAAGTTGATTTTCATAAGAAAAACTTTTAGTGGCATTGCATGTGTTAAGTTTGACTTTGCTCTATTTATACTTAATTTTATTGCACTTTCAAGGACATCATGTTTTAAATGTGAGAATAACTGTGGGTTTCTGAGACTGAAATCTCTGTATTAAACATATTGTCATCCCTGTCAGTATCTTTGACAAAATAGAGATGAGAATATGTTTTAAATGGAGATTTTGGTTTTAGAAACCCACTGTAAGTCTATTATTACATGCTGTGGTTAAAACAATTTTGATTTTGAGCTGTTATTTCACTCCTAAGCCACGGATCACTTGTGGTTTTTTTTTTATTTGCTTTTTTATTTAAATTACCTTTTTACCTGAATTGGAGTTAGTTTTTTAGGTGTGTTAGGTACATAGTCATATTTTAGCCTAAACTATTTGAATGAATATATAGAAATTACTAAATTGTTTTTTTTTTTTATTTCTTGGTCAGAATGTGTCATTAGTGCAGTGTCATTGGGTTTTATTTTTTTTATCAAATTCATTTAGTGACTAAATAAGTTATTATCTGTTTACATTTGGCTGCTAGCTGTCGCCCGCGAATCCCTCTTAATAAGTAGCCTATGTGTTCTTCCAGACTATGTTCTACATATGCGAAATCTCAGAAAGATCCGTTGAGCTTTCCCGGAGAGAATTTTAAATAATCATGTATACATCATACATGTTATGAGGAGGGATGATCATGATATAAGCAAAAAAGTAATGAGATTGAATGATGATGGCTACAAGGGTAGGGGAAGACCAAAAAAAGTATGGAATGACTGTGTGAAAGAGGATATGCGTAAGAAGGGGGTAGACTCGGATATGACGGCTGATAGAGATGTATGGAGGAGTAGTACATACTGTGCCGACCTTCAATAGGGATAAGGGCAGGTTGATGATGATGACATCTAAACATTCTTATTTATAATATTAGTAGATATAAACAAGTTTTTTGTTGATTACAAAATTATATGAACCTACTAATGGTTCGAGTTGTAAACAATTTCATACAAATGAGATGAATTAACAAACATATAAGATTATTTGAATTTTATTTATATTTATTTTGTAAATATTAAATAATCATTAGAGATGATTAGAGATTATCTAATTGCCGTATTTATAGTCAGAGTATCGTCATCATCAGCTCACTATACATCCCCACCGAGGAGCTAGGAACCTACCCTAAGTTATGTGACTAGGTTATAGTCAACCACGCTGGCCAAGTGCGGGTCAACTTCACACATATCTTTGAATTTCTTCTCAGATATGTGTAGCATCACGATTTTTTCCTTTACCTTAAGAACGTCGAATAAACGTACATATGTAAATTGGAAATCAAAAAACATATTGGTACATGGCGGGATTCGAACCCAGGACCTGCAGATCGCAGGTCAAGTGCTTGACCCCTGAGCCACCGACGCTCAACAATCGGAGTATATAACTTTTTATATATAGTGATATTTTGTGTATATACATGTTAGAAGGTATCTCTGGAACAGCTGCTTATTGAAATTTATCATAAATGTAGAACATAGTCTGGAAGAACACATAGGCTAATAATTAAGCTTTTTGTTATGGCATGGATGGAGTTGCTGGTTATATTTTTTTGTACATTCGCAGCAACCTACCCTGATGAGGCCCGTGAATAAATTCTGATGATAGTCAGATGTTCAAAGGATGCCATCTTTATTTTAAACAAAAATATTAAAAACAAATAATAATCAGGTTTAATGTGATATTTTTGCTTGTGCTATTATATTACATATTATTTTTATTAATAAGACATTTGACATTGTTTGACTTTGGTTTGTGACGCATTTTTAGATCGACGACTTTAGAAATGAATGTCACAAAAAATATAAATAATTCATTATTTTACGTCAATGTGATCAGTTTACAATATAACTAGTAGGATTATAAACAGACTAGCTGTGTTTAATTATTAGCCTATCCGTTCTTACAGACTATGTACTACATGTGTGCCAAAATTCATGGAGATTCGTTCTCGAGATACCTTCACACATCCATCCATCCATCCAAACATTTGCATTTATAATATTAGTAAGACTAGCTGCTAGATATTTTCTTTGTGTGCATCCTCTCCTCCGTCGATTAAAGGTAGGCATCGCATATGCAATTGCGTATGTCTATGGCCAACGGTCACTTCGCTATATCAGCGACTTCAGGTGGCCGCTTGCTCGTTTGCCACCTTATGATATAAAAAAAGAAGGCACAAATGTATGTTGAGATTTTGTAATAGACAATTTCTAAATCTATGTTTATTTAAATCAGTTTAGGCGTAGTCAAAGACAATCTTTATATTTGTGATAAAACGCAACATTAACAATGATACGAGTTGTTACATGAACTGTATTAATACGCTTTCGGCCCGGTCATGTCATTATTGTTATCTTAATAGGTCGGCTTGTATTTTGGCCTCATAGACCTATTTCTGGAATGTTGGTAATGATATAGCCGTCCCTTTCACACGTTGATACCGTTTTAACTTGCATAGATTAAGTCGTGCATGCACTGTTTAAATATCAGACGCCGTAGACCTACCAGTCGTCGCCTGCGAGCCCGTCCGCGTGATAAAAAAATAGTTGATAGCCTATGTGTTCTTCCAGACTATGTTCTACATCTATGACAATTTTTAAGATTAATGCATCTGGAGATAACGTCTAATATTCATCTTAATATTCTTATTTATAATATTATCTATTATATATATATATATATATATATATATATAATGGATGCGTACCTTTATCTTACTAATATTATAAATGCGAATGTTTAGATGGATGGATGTTTGTTTAAAGGTATTTCTAAAAGTCTTGAACGGAGCTTTATGAAATTTGATATACATATAGAACATAGTCTGGAAGAACGCATAGTCTCCTAATTCATTATCATCATCATCAGCTCACTATACGTCCCCACCGAGGGGCTCGGAGCCTACCCTAAATTATGGGTGATTAGGCCATAGTCAACCACGCTGGCCAAGTGCGGGTTGGTTGACT